ATTATTATTATTATTATTATTGTTTTAAAATCAAGTGTTTTTTTTTTTTTTTTGATTTTCATTATTGCCCTCATTAGATTTCCTAATTATAGAGAAAACAGAAATAGATCAATTAATCCGTGGAGTAATAATCGCGTTAATTATAGGGAAAAAATAAAACAAATAACAAAATATTCTCTCTTTCTCTCTGTCTCTCTCTTTTATTATTCCTTTCTCTATTTCTTTATATCTCATACGTATATATACACACTAAATGCGCGAGTGCATATTATGCATATTAATTTACAATAATTTTTTAAAAGATTTTTTCTTTTTTTAATTAATCCTTTGGGAATTTAGTAGGAACTTTTAATGAAACACTTCGTTGTTATGCATTATTGTGAAAAATCAGGACTATTTTTTTTTTTTTTTAAATTTTTATTTTATTTTTTTATATATATTAAACAAAAAAGTAGTCTGTATTTGTTTAATTTGCCTGAGCGTTAGTTTAGTATTCGGCGTTTCGTTTTTCTATATATATTATTTTTATTTGAGTTAGTCATTGTCATCATTTTCACTATGACTATAAAGTAAACTTTATATTTTTTAAATTGAATTTATAGAGATGAAAACCTGTGGCAGAAGAGAGGTAAGCAATTTATATAATTTTTTTTAAAATATTTTTATATCCAATCAACAAACACACTCAACAATCAAAGTACAAGATCATATATATCCAACCCTTTCTTTCGTTCGACTTTATCAATTATTGTGTTATTAATTTTTATTATAAGTGTATTTGCGTTTCTATTGAACTCATAATTGTTTGTTGTTTTTCCACATTTTATTAACCATATATTTTTTAAAGGCGAAAAATTAAACAGAAATTATTAAATGGATTCTTAAATCTCTACTAAATTTGGGAAAAATATTTACCAATGAGAATTAAGTGCGGATGAGCTTTTCTTTTCAAGAAATAATGTTTTAAGTTCATTTTTTTCTCTTCGTTCTCTCTCTCTCTCTCTCTCTTTATCTCCATTTCCCTATCAGTCGCTCCCGTTTCCTCCTCCTTGCCAATATCAAGCACTAATTATTTAATTTGACAACCTTTGCTTAACTAAGCAATAGGACGAAAACTGGAGGACGTGGGGAGGCCTTCAAAATGACATTTTATTATTTTCCTAACTGCGACAAGAAATTGCGCGCAAGGATGCAATGAAGGCAAGAATTAAATTGCGGAAATATCCTTCTTCTTGATATTGCTGTTCTTCATACCGCACGTTGCTTGCTTTTTTATCTTAACAACCACGGACTTGTAAAAAGTCTGCATTTTTTTTCAATGAAGAACACAACACCGCTCCTATAAACGTTCAGCTTACTATAAAATTGTTTTTTCCAAGTCCAAATAATAGGCTTTGCGTTTTCTATTCTATTATTCGGCGTGCGAGAAAAATCTAAAAAAAAAAAACTCTATATTCGCCGATTATTATTCTTATTCTCCTATTTTTCATATATCCTTATTGTAGCGAGCCATTCATATATATTTTGTATCAAATTTAAACATATAATAATATTAATATATTTTTTTAATTAATTAAGTAAAAATTTTAATATTATCCTTTAATTAAAAAATGAATCAAACAATTGAATACACAAGAAAGTATGTTGAAAGAAATCGTGCCAACTAAAATATCATTGCGTTGATTTATACATATATAAATTTTTTTTATATTATTTTTAAGAGTGAAATTAAATAAAATTTATAGAAAATTAAAAACTTAAAGCAATATATTCTATATATATATATATATATATATATATATATATTCTATATATATATGTATGTATATATATAAAGAAAATAATTATTAATATATACATATATAAAGAAAATAATTAAAAACAAAAAAAAAATTACTTTTAAGAGAAATATTAAGGATTTTATATAACTAGAGCAGATATTTAACATAAAAAAAAAAAGAAAAAAAAAAAATGTAATATTTTTATAAAAGCAGAAAGTTTAAAAAGCATAACAGCGTAATTCAATAACGAGCTTATGCCCAATCCATTGAAGGTATACCAAATATTGTTACCACATTTTCGCTAACAGATAGAAATGCGCATTGCAGACTTCTGGCAGGTATTATGCTATTCTTGATCAGCGAAAGATTGTAGTAGTAGTTTGATTATTTCTATCCATCTATCACTTCGTTTGCCAGTTGAGAATATCTCCTCCTCTCCCTCCCCGGCCCTCTTCACCGCCATCACCCTCCTTCATTATATATTTTCCTAAACCTATTTCATGTTATATCGGTCATCTATCTATCTGAGATCTTCGTCTAACTTGCTACATACATTTCTATAGGTGAATTTTTAATTTGAAAAAAAATACATTAAATACTTCGCCTATCCGTTTGTGTACCAGATCCCAAATGCCTATAACTCAAGTTTTACGAGCAATACGTTCAACTAACTATCAGTCGTCATGCTCTGGTACCTTTTGCACAGGCCTGGCTAAATACTTGTATCAAGTTTAATATCAATATTAAAAATCTGATAATCGATTCTCTTTCATGTGTGGAAATCACGTCTATTTACGAATTTGATTAATGGCAATCGATTTGGAGTTTTATAGTCAGTAGTATTTTGAGCAAGATCACAGTGATATTACAAGCTCCAGGATAGTCAGTTGCTCTAACTCTTTTTTTCATTTTTCTTTAATGTTAATGTTTTAGGCCAACATGTGTTTTTGTTATGACTACTGTTTTGGGATAGATAATAAAATTTGATTCGTAAAGCCATAGAAATAAATTACAACAAGAAAACACATTGAAGCTCACAGCTCTACGACCAACTATACGACTGTTAAACTTATAACTTAAACTATACAATCGTTCGCGTTTAAATAACTGACTATTGATAGGATTAAATCATGTCGAGAAATTTACGGGAGTGAAAAATGCGTATATTTCATGGAATCTCTAATGCGTATTTCTGTATGTTATAAACAGAAACAGATATCTAGTGTACCCCGATACATGAAGGGTGGGTATAAAATGGTCTTGATCATCTAACAAGCCCGTCCATAAAAGAGTAAAGTAAGAGTAAAAATAAATAAAAAGAAAATAAATAAATAAGTGAATGAAAAATCTAAAAAGCCGATCTCGACATTTGGGGGAAACCATTACTTCTGTAACTTTTTTATTTTACTTGTTTGATCTTGCAGGCCTTTAAATTCACCCGAATGCGAAAACTGAATCTAAACTTTTATTTATTTCTTTTATTTCTTTTATTTTTTTGATTTTTTTCATGTCTATTTCTTGAATCCAAGCTTTAAAATTGAAGACTTGCTAGATTAGGCGATTGTCTTTTAATGAACTGAGGCATATTTTTCTGCTGTTATACTCTTTGACTTTTTGATATTTTACTTTTATCTTTTATTAACTTCCTAAGGAAAATATGAATTCATTTAAATTTTTATAATAATTTTTTTTTTTACATAATGTCCGCTTAACCATATTTTTTTTCAATGCATTAATCGTTTCTTTTCTTTAAATATTGATCTTCAAATTATTTGAATTTATATTATTATTTATAAAATAAAAAAAAAAAAAAAAAAAAAATAAAAAAATAAAAAAAAATGAAGAAATAATGTAATAAATATCAAATGTTATATATATATATATATATATAAAACTAAACCCAGTGCGGTAAGACTAAAAAAAAAAATGTTTATATAAATATAAATTTTTATTATTAAAACAAATAAATCTTATATA